TCTACTACAGAAGAGTAGTCAAAGAAATCAAAGTAGATAAAAACACTCAGTCTTTGCAAAGTATATAGAGTAAGAAAGAAAATGAGAAAGTCTTGTTTAGTCCATTTTGTTCTACTATAACAGAATACCACAGACTGGGTAATTTATAACAAGCAGAAATATTTTGCTTATGGTTCTGGAAACTAGGAAGTCTAAGATCAAGCCATGGCCTTCTTGCTGCAACAGCCCATGGTGGAAGGGCAAAGACAGAGCAAGAGAGCGCACGAGACAGGGCCAAAGGGGCTAACTAATCCTTTTATAAGGAGCTCACTCCCAAGATAACAAACTCACTTTCTCAATAACAGCATTAATCCATTCATGAAGGCGTGGCCTAATCACCTCTCCTTAGGTCTCAACACTGTTGCACTGGGGATTAAGTTACCAATATATGCTCTTTGAGGGGCACACATTCAAACCACAGCAAAACCCTCTGACAGAACTCTGCGCTGCAACATTTAATGGGCTGATTGGGGGACAGAACCAATGATGGAGACTGAGAAGGAGTAATTGGGCAAGCAGTAGAGAAACCAGGGGTAAGTGGAGTCAAGAAATCCAAGGGAGAATAATATTTCAAGGAGGAGAAAGTTCAAATGCAATAGAAAAGTCATATTAAATGAGAAATTTTTAAATGTCTACTGAAATTGCCAATTGATAGATCATTGAGGCCTTTTACATGAATAATTCCAGGGAGACTGAGATGTGAAAACCAGATTCCATTAAAACAAAAGGTAAAGAACTTGACATTTCTCACATAGATTAATCTTTATGAATTTCAAGCTGGGCATGGTGGCTCAGGAAGCCTAGTCAACATATTACATTAATATTAATAATGATGTATGTGATCCTCATAAGTGATTATGGAGTACTCGTTATCTGTCAGGCATTGTACTAGGCATTTCACATGCACAGTCTTGTCTAATTCTAGATAATTTAGATGACTCCACAAGAGTCTTTCTTGAATCACAAATTGCTAGTCTTCTGCACGAAATATCCAACTCGATTATCTGTACTTTATGGATAAGAACTGTGTCTTATAATTCCTTTTTTTGTGCCATCTAGTAAAGTTTTGGGGACATAATAGAAACTCAGTATCCTTTAAAACTCTTGATAACATACCAAGTTCCTGCTATACACATGACTTTGTATTGGACAGTAGAGAGGATTTTTTTACACTAACCAGTTCTATACAAAGTTGGAAGCTTATTAGAGAGACAAGGCATGCAGGTGAAAATTTAAATTATAGCTCTACATCAATTAAGTGCTACTACATTTATAATAATAGTATATGAGTGCAGTAAAAAGGAGATTGCTGTGAGCTAATATCATGAAACAAATATTTATGCAGCTGGTAGAAGTTAAATAAGGGCTTGAATATTCTGACGGAGACAAGGCTTTCCAGGAGGTGGAAATGCCTGAGCAAGGGAATGGTTGTGCATCTCACAAGAGCCAAGAGCTCACAGCCAATGATTTATTTAGCAAAGTCTTCAACCCTACTATTCTTTGCCCCCAGTTCAGCCCATTTCCAGCATATATTTTTTCCTTCCTTATATCTCCTTAATTAATCTCTTTATCTACTTCTCATGATCACAAACCTCTGTTATCCTATCCTATTTCAACTACGACCACCTCCTCATCACTCAGCTCACACCATTAGCACCGCTAAGAATCCACATTTCTACTTCTGAAGTCGCTTTGGATTTCCCAGCGCTCTGCACAGTAGGACCCATAGACCACCAGATACTATCCCCTGCCTCTGGCATTTCTCATTCTTCACTCTAACTCACTGCTGTTTTCCCCACACAAATGTGCTCCAAGACCTCCTAAAGCAAACTATACATTGTCTTCTTCCAAGCCTCGCCTGGCTGAAAGTCAGTCTTAATGCACAAGGTTCTAAATCATAATTTATAGCTTGGAAACCATTAATTCCTGTACAGAAGGAACAGAGTTTACTGCCAATGAGTTGTTCAAGTACTAAGACAGATTCTGGTTCTATATGAATTTTTATTTAAGTTCCCTATAAAAATGTTTGTAATAGCATCAGAGGGTGTGTGTGTGTGTGTGTGTGTGTACATATACACATACACACAAACACACTGTCTCTCTCTCTCTCAAAGTGGGGAGGAGTGGGTGTTGAAGAATGACAGCTCCTTGAGGACAGGCCACATTTTTGTTCAACTCGAGTTGAACAGTATTAGCAAAGGCATGAGAGGACTTAAGAAACAATACAAAATAAGGCAGATAGGTATGTTCTTCAAGCTATCCTTCGACCCCGGATTCTAAAGACTAAAATACAAGCTAAGGTTGGAGGGGCCCAAATTTTCTTCTCTGAGTCTCAGAGATTAGGTGTATATATTTTAGAAATGTAATAGTACCTTCTTAAAAAAATTGCTTGGTAATTAACCTGACTAAAAGCTCTGGCTAAAATACTGTGGTTCTGGCTTAGTATACTCTATGGTTGTAGCCAACACTAGAAAAAACACCCTTTCAGTTCTAGGCTCTGTTCTCTCACTAAATTTCACTTTGGCTGTATGCTGATCATTTGATCTCATTTGGAGATGACTAGCAGTCACATATACACCATCAAGTGACAATCACAAGGCCAAATCTAAGTTATTTCATTTCAAATAAGCATTGGACTATTATTACTAACTTAATAAGCAGGAAGTGCCCATGTGTCTTATGTACTATGCTGGACACAACTTGCAGGGAGATAAATAAAACATCACTAATAAGTACAAGATCCTCAAAGTTCACACTTTGAGATGTAAACAGTGAAAGACAGCACAATTTTTAAGAGTAAAGAAATTGACAATGCAACAAAGAACACCAAGTAGGAAGTGAAGATAACAATCTGCCTTGAAGAATTGTAAAACAATGTGCAAGAAAGTAACATTTAAACTAGATCTTGGCTAGGTGCCATGGCTTACACCTGTAATTCCCAACACTTTGGGAGGCTGAGGCAGGGGGATAGCCTGAGGTCAGGAGTTCAAGAACAGCCTGGCCAATATGGTAAAACCCCATCTCTACGAAAAATACAAAAATTAGCCAGGCATGGTGGCACACGCCTATAATCCTAGCTACCTGGGAGGCTGAGGCAGGAGAATCACTTGAACCTGGGAGACGGAGGTTGCAGTGAGCCAAGATCACGCCACTGCACTCCAGCCTGGTCAACAGAGTGAGACTCTGTCTCAGTAAATAAATAAATAAATAGATAAATAAATTAATTAAATAAATAAAATAAAAATCAACTAAATCTCAAAGGAGGAGGGAAGGGATATATATAGAGCATGTATTATTTGCCAGACACAGTTGACAAATTATCTCACTGTTGCCACCATTTTAGACATGGTGAATCTGAGGCAGGACAACTAAAGTCACCTGCTAGAATGTCACACAGCCAGCTTCCAACACAGCTTTGCATTCTCTGTCCAACGTACAAGCTCCCTTCTAAAGGCAAGGGAGCCTTCTTTAGGTGGAAAAGTGAAATAATCTTTATTGTACTTAAAGTTTCCTAGAAATTACCTCTTACAAAATATTTACTTATAATGATTAACAGTTTATGGTTGTAGCTGTAAGTTTCTATCTGCCTATAAAACGCTTTTAAAGCTGGGTGCAGTGGCTCACACCTGTAATCCCAGCACTTTGGGAGGCCAAGGCGGGTGGATCATTTGAGGCCAGGAGTTCAAGACCAGCCTGGGCAACATTGTGAAGCCTCATCTCTACAAAAAGTTAGCCAGGCGTGGTGGCATATACCTGTAATCCCAGCTACTTGGGTGAGTGAGGCCTGGGAATCTCTTGAACCCAGGAGGTGGAGGATGCAGTGAGCCAAGATCACACCACTGCATTCCAGCCTAGAGGACAGAGTAAAACTCGAAGGAAGGAAGGAAGGAAGGAAGGAAGGAAGGAAGGAAGGAAGGAAGGAAGGAAGGAAGGAAGGGAGGGAGGGAGGGAGGGAGGGGGGAGGGAGGGAGGGAGGGAGGGAGGGAGGGAGGGAGGGAAGAAAGGAAGGAAGGAAAGAAGGAAAAAATTAGCTGGGTGTGGTAGTGTGCACCTGTAGTACCAGTCACTCGGGAGGTTGAGGCAGGAGGATTGCTTGAGCCCAGGATGCAATGAGCTGTGATCTCGCCACTGCTCTCCAGGCTGGGCAACAGAGTGAGACCCTGTCTCAAATTTTAAAAAAAGAAAAAAGGAAAATGCTTAGGGTTCAAGGTCTATGTAAGAGATATGCAAAACTTCAAAAACGTTGCAAAATGTTGTGTCTATATGCATTTTCCTGGGTAAAAAGAGTCAGGAGCTTTTATGAATTTTAAAGGGGTTTATAAACTTCTACCCCAGAAAAGGCTATGAAGAACCAATCTACAGACTTTGGCTAAGCTTTTTAATGTTTTCCAAAAGGAAAAGTACTTTTGTAAATTTAAGTTTCACATACAAGGAAATACATTTCATATATAACAGGGAAGATTCATATATTCTACTATAATGTAACAACTTGATAAGGAGACACTGAAGTGATCCTTTCCCATGTTTCTAGTAACTACTCAGGATGTTAACGGTGAAAGGACCATTTAGAAAGTTAATTTCCTTTTCATCATGCTTGTTAAGTGTTTACTTTAATTCACATCCTGTGTGACCCTATGGGAAAATTTTTAACTAATACTGGGGAAAATCCCATAGGGTTACACAGGATGTGAACAGGGCCTGTACTGAACTACCTTCAGCTTGAAAAATAAAATTAGATAGGTGAGTTTCACTTTCTGTTTGTCATAAGTTCCACTTTCTGGCTCCCAAAGCTTAGATTCACAGTATATCTGTGTCCGTGCAATAAAATCCCAAGATTCTCACTCTGTTTTAAAGGAAGGATTTCTGCGTGTTGTATAGCAAAATCCTTTCAGCAGAAAAATGCAAATCTGTGGTGCTAATCAAGAAGAGGCGGCTGGAGCACTCCAAGCGCTCCTCCATACCTGGGCTCACACACAGTTCAGCTGCCGTTTTCCATTTCCTGTGGAGAACATACATCATACCACTTCCCCTATAGAAAAAAGAAAGCAGCCCAATTTAATTGCTGATGGAAACATTGTCATACTTTCCACTGGCCAAGCTTGAAACCATTACTGATCTAACCTTCATTAATTTTTCCACAACAATTTGCAGAAATGTCAGGAAGCAGCTGTACGAAGACTGATTGTCCTTATCACCACTACTTTACCAGGCTCGCTCTCTCTTCTCTCTCTCTCTCTCTCTATCCCCACCACCTCCCCTCCCTCTCTTTCAGTTTAAAAATATAATTGGGATTTTTCTGTTTTGGTTGGTATTGATGGTGGTATATCATACTCTGAAAAATCCAGATCTATTTTTGATGTCTTTCAGTGGCCCAAACATTTTCAGATCTGGAGGAGACCCCATGAAGTTTGGGATAGCATCCATGAAGGAAAAGGTTGCTTCCTGCTGATTACTCAGTTATAGCTGTTTAAACAGACGTTCATGAATTCAAGTCTTACAGCAACACTGCATTTATTAGTCAATCACAGACGCTAAAATTCACTTCCGAAATGTGAATTAGAAAATCAAATGCCCTTTTTCTATTTTTTTTTTTCACTTTCTTTTCTCCCTCATCATTTTCATTTGAGCTCATTTGAGCTATACCATCTGTCTCAGCCTATCAAATAATGTACTGTGCATGCCTGGCAAAAACAAGTGGAACAGTACACCTAATAACCCCATGTACGCAACCACTGAGCATCTATAAAAGTGGTACATAACAGAATCTGGCCATCTGGGGATAACTGGTTATAGCAAGCTTAGCTTCTCAGCCAGCACTCAGATTTGCAGACTTTTAACTAGCTGGCGAAGCGTCAACTAGTGTTCAAGAAAAGAAACACTAACAAACATTTTTTTTTTCAAAACACAAGAATTCACATATAAATTTTCAAAGGTATACTTGCCAATGTTGCTGACAAGAAGGCTTCAAAAGCAAAGATCAAGGCACTGTCATGTCCTTGAAATGGAGCCAGAGTCAATCCAAATCTAGCATTTTGCAGCATTACTAAACTTTTTGGGTATGAACATATTTTTCCTTCCCCATATTGCCTGAATATATACAAGCAAGGGAAGAAAGCCGAACAGACTTTGAACCAAATGACATAGTACCTCTCAGAGACAGCTCCAGCAGACTGGGAAGAGTTTCTCCTAGGACTACATTAAAAAAAAAAAAAAAATTCCAAAGGCTCTCTTCATCCCAGATATACTCATTCCTAGTCTAACCCCAAACCAAAGACAGATTGGACAACCATGGCTTAAGGCATTAAAGTAGTAACTGGACATGTAGCATAATGGCCCATGGAGCCAGAATCCTTACTTTCAGTCCCATCTCTGCCACTTACCAGACATACAAATATCATCAGGCAAGTTATCTAACCTCTCCGTGCCTCAGTCTTTTCATCCATAAAATGGGGATAAAAATAATGTTGTTAAGAGAATTATACGGCATTTAAAAATGGCACTAGGAAGTGAACTCTAAATACTAGCTATTAACTCTGTATTTTTCGGTTGATATTTCAGGTATCTATTAGCCTAATAGTGAGGAGGAAATAATGTGACATGAGTTCCTAAATTAACTTAAGAAAGCCCACTGGGTTGGCTGAGAGATTTCCCCTGATAATATGAGGATACCCAGATTGTTTGAAACACCACCACCAAAACTGGGTCAAGCAAAGGCTAAATATTCTATTGTTTCTGTTGACTCCCCCTTAGCTGTCACAGGACAGCATGCCTTGTGATGCCATGGGACGTAGGGGCAGGCATGGCTGGAGATTACCACACCTCACCACCACCTCCAGGCCTGGAAAGCAGGGGTGGGGAGAAGGCCACCACAGACCAGCAAAGCACAAACAAAGACAGAAATTGGCTTGGACTTCATTATAATCAGAGTACTCATTGAAGAAGCCAAAGGCACTCACTCCCTTGGCACTAAGACCAGGGTTGAGGTGCCAGGAGGCCACACAGTTCAGGAAAGACGCTACTTTTAATTCCTGCTCCACCATATGACCTTAAGTACCTCTCATGCTCTAAAGCCTTAATCTACAGTTAAACACAGGATTTCATCCACAGCAGACCTTTGGAGTCTTTTGGCTGCCATGACCTCCTTAGCAGTCTGATGAAGCGGGCTCATTCTTAGCAGAACGTTTTAAACTACGCTGGATTACAAAGGAAACTAATTATCATGAATATAGGTATCTGAAAATCACTTTCGAAGCAAACTTGTTGACAGTAATGTACATGATTCTTTATTAATAATTAAAAACAAGATATAGTAAAGGTCTAATATTCACCATAATTCGGAGCAATCATAATCATAAAGATACTTTGAGATATGAATCACAACGGTAATGTGATATGAAACTGTCTGTGATTTCTATTGGTGACAACGTCACTGACACTGCCGAAACTACTGTCATTTGTTGCTTACATGAATAATGAAGGAAGTGCTGAACTTGTTAGAGATTAATGAAATACAGCTTTTTTCTCAACCAAATTTTCTGAATTCTGTCCACTTGTGGTTACCCCAGCCTAGGTAAATAATAAATCCCTTTATAATTCTATTATCTCAGATCAATGATTGCATTGTGTCCCTGGCTCCCTCCACAGAGAATATTCACAAAGAGAAAGAAAGCAATTCCTATTCTTTCCAACTGTGTGGAGAAAAACAGATTTACAGGATAGAAGTGTCTTTCCTCATTCCTCTCCAAGTGAAGGAGGGAACACTTATTGACTTGGAAATGAGTTACCCAAACACTATCAAGCCCTACCAGCCTACAGGCGAATACATAAGAAGTGGGATTAACACCAATTAACCACAGCTCCTGTTCCAGCCCCACCTGCTCACACAGGACCTCCAGCCCCCTTAAAAAGTCCCAACTAAGTATATCTAGGATTCCAGCAAGGGAGACTTAGAAGAGTCCACAGGCAGTCTGACAGCCAGTCACAACACCATCTGCCATGGCTTCCTTCTTGCACCAGCTCCCCCTAGCGTCCTCAGGAAGGATCCCCTCTGCCGCCTCTGCAGATGGCGCCCGCAGTAAGAATGCTAATGCCCAGATGCCCCCACAGACAGCAGAGTCCATACTTCCAGGCAAGAGGGGTTCTTGCCATGGGTCCCACACTTTAGAAAGCCTGCATATCACAAACATGCACAAATAAATTCACTGAAAAATCCACAGCACCTTTATCATAGGCATCCAGATATCCTGTAACCCTAAACCCTGCGACAAGGGTTTAAGCCCCCAGGGAAATGCTTCTCTTGCCCAATCTCTTTGCACCAAAGAGTAACTGAGTTTGAATGCCCTGAAGGTTAGTGGATTGTGACATTGCAGAGTGTAGAGATAGATATCATTTCCAAAGCAGAGAAGATTCAAGCAGCATTAACGCTTAGGTAAAAGAAAAGACTTAACGCTTAGGTAAAAGAAAAGACTTAAGAGTCATTTCTCTCAGATGGTGTACACGCAACAGATTCTTGCATAACAAGTGTAGCCATGCCAAGTATCCCTTTCCTGGTTTCTCTTTGTGCTCTGATCAGTGGTTCTAGAATCGTTAATAATTAGAGCAGCATTTGGAACAATCGCACATGGCACTTGAAGAGTATTGCAATTAAACAATTCTTATTCTTAAATTTGTAAAGATGTAATAACCTGCATGAAGCATGATGCCAATTCTTTACATTAGCAACTAAAATGGACACTAAAAATAAACTTGTGAATAGTTTTGCTTCTGTAAAGACAGCTAATGATTTCATTCAATTTCAAAAAAATTAAAAAGCTTCAGCTGTATTTAAATAATTTTGAATTTTAAATGTTTTATTCATTCATTGTGATATAGATTTATTTACCTTTCAATTTTAGCACGTGATTTTGGATATTTTGTAAGAAAAATCCTTTTTTAAAAATTAGCTTAAAACATTTTTATACTTATTCTAATTTACATATATGATGAAAATATACTGATATTTTGTATATGTTGAATACAATTACAGTACATGCTTAAATCCTTTAGGCCACTGAGAATGCGTACATGTCGACACCTTAGTATATGTAGCTACTTTTTTGGAGGTCAAAAACTTAAAAAGCAGAGATTTTTAAGAAGCAGTAGAAAAGCTAAAAACAGTCAGTCTGTTTAAATTTTAAAGCTGCAAATAATGAAAGTAAGCGGACTTGTCAAGCATGACCCATATAAAATTCACTAACAGGACATTAGAAATTATTTATTTAATAAAGATTTAACTACTGTCCAAAACAATAAAAATGAGCCAGAAAATTATTCTCATCAAATCCACAACGTGAACAATTCAGACGAAATCCCTGCAACTTCATGTTCTGTGCAAATAAAGATTTTATTACTGATCAAATTAAGAATCTTTGTGGGCCTCCATTTGAACTCTTGCCCCAGAGGCCCCACAAATACTGGCGGCAATGACCCTCCCCAGCTGTGTGTTCGTAAGGTCCAAGTCAAGCTTGGCTTATAACCAGTTCTCCTTCAAGACTGTCACCAAAGCAGTTCCATCAGGTTTTTCGCTTCCACTCTTCTTCAGAATCTCACAAAGTTTATGGCTAATACTTTGTAGCCATGTAACACAATGGTTCAGATCCAGTCCCAGAGGCTAGGGAGGTAACAGTTACAACCTTCATTGACCAACTTGGAAATCTTCTGCCCCATCTTGGCCAGCTACAAAACCATAGCTGTATATCAGTGAGTGATAACACATACAACTAGGGGTGAGAGAGGGGTGGTTCTGCAATTTGAAACCAATAAAGTCCATACATTTATAGACAGAACCATTGATATTTGGTTTACCCCTCTTTCATCTTTTTTTATAACTTCCTGCCTCCAAGGTTCTTGGCTTATAACCCACCTTACACTTCACCACCTCCACACCTCTGGAGCCGGTAGAAGGCGTTTCCCTACCTGCCATTAAAATTCAGGTCAAGTAGGAGGAAGAATGGCCACAGAGGCCAGAGAGAATGAATGAAGATTCAGAAA